GCATGTACTTAGAAGCAGTTCCCTCTGCACAGCTACATGAAAACTCCCCGCTCTACACATTTCACATCTGTGCCTATGTCGGTTTGCACATGCTTGCTGCAGACTCTCAGTCTTTTGGAGCATATGGGAAGGAAGTCAGCGGCACTCAGACAAAAACACAGACATCAATCAAGTTAAAACCAGAAAAGATCATGATTCGCCAGTCTGGACGGAATCTAAAGTGAGGAGAGAGAAGAGAGGAAGACATTTTTTTTTTAAAATCTTTTATGGATTTTCTAACAAACGTGAAATAACCTGGATCTAACAGATACCCAAGGTGGCCCCTATAGCAGTGGAAATAGTAAAATGAGAGCGCTCTTTCAGTGGAATATATAATTGTAGATCTATGATGGCTCATTAGTAGTTTAATCTCTTTTTGCAGTGATGGAAATAACATTTAAGTGATGATAAAATGTTGTGGAAAATTAAACCAAACATTGCTTTAAATGACAGAGAATGGGAACAGAGCTGCAACATCAGTGAATGTGAAACTATCACGGGTGTGATGATCTGTAGGTTTTGACTTCTGATTTTTTTTATTTTGGATTCTTTCAGCACTTTATCTTTTGTATATTATTTTCTATAGTTCTTGCCATATTCAGTTATTTTCGCCATTTTGAGTGCCATCTTAGTTAACTTCCTAATGCTAGTGGTTTCTGAGGTTACTGATTTGCACAGTTTAGGATGAAGACGGTAATTAAACACTCAGAAAATTATAAAAATAGGTCCATCAGGGACAACTAGGTCGTGGGTAAATACAATATTATATCCAATTTATTTTTATTTACATGCTGTCCCCCCCTGCATTATTTTTCCATCCATCCATCCATCCATCCATCCATCCATCCATCCATCCATCCATCCATCCATCCATCCATCCATCCATCCATCCATCCATCCATCCATGTTCTTCCACTTTATCCGGGGCCAGGTCGTGTAGACAGCAGTCTAAGCAGAGATGCCCAGACTTCCTGATCCACACACACTTTCTCCAGCTGCTCTGGGGGGACCCAGAGGCAACACCAGACCAGCTCAGAGACATAGTCCCTCCAGCGTGTCCTGGGCCTTCCATGAGGCCTCCTCCCAATGGGACATGCCTGGAACACCTCCCAAGGGAGGCGACCAGGAGGCATCCAGAACAGATGCCCGAGCCACCTTGGCTGGCTCCTCTCGTCGTGGAGGAGCAACGTCTCTACTCCAAGCTCCTCCTGGGTAACTGAGCTCCTCACCCAACCTCGAAGGGTTCACCCAGTCACCCTGCGAAGGAAACTCATTTCAGCTGCTTGTATTCGCGATCTTGTCGTTTTGGTCATTATCCAGATCTCATGACCATAGGTGAGGGTGGGAATGTAGGTTGATTGGTAAATCGAGAGCTTTGACCCCCCGACTCAGCTCCCTCTTTACCGCAACAGTCCGATAAAGCGACAGCATCACTGCTGATGCTGCACCGATCCGTCTATCGATCTCACGCTCCATCCGTCCCTCACTTGAGCTCCTCCACTTGAGACAAGGACTCTCCGCTTTCTTTCCATAGTCAGATTTGTTGATGATGAGAATGCACTTAGTAAAGTTGAATAAAACTGTATCAGAAATGAAAGTGATTCTTAGGACCGCCTCAATGCATAATGCCACTGACCTGCAGTCTGAACACATCCTCAAAATTAAGAGGTTTTGTGATCTGAGAGTTACATAAAACATATCATAAATGTACATAAATGTGACTGTACCAGTAGGAGTAACATTTATATATCTACATTATCAGAGTGTAAAATGCACAAATAAATTATTAAATGTCCTTAAAAAATCAATATAATTATAAATGAATATAATCACATCACCTTTTAGGTATAAACAATTAAGGCTCTTCAGTCAGTTGTGTTATTTTTTGAGTCACAAGCTGAAATGTTTGTAAAGCCCAGTTCTGTTACCTGAAAGCTCCTCATTCTCTCCACGTCCTTCTTGCAGAAAGAGCTCAATTGAATGGAACTTATTTCCATAGCACCAACTCACAACACATGCCAACTCAAGACACTTTAAAGAGACGATTCAACCAGATCATTGAATTGTCTCTTTAAAAACAGACCTTTTGCATGACATTTCTCTTGAGTTTCAGAACTTCCAGAGCCAGACTGGATGAGAAGCCTGCCTTGGTGTGAGCCAAGCTGTGACCCCTGCTGTGAGCCTGAGACAAAGAAACCCCTTTCTGTTGGCCTGACTGCTGAGCTGCAGCTAGATGAAACTCAAGCCTTCCAAATGGAAATGGACAAAAACGTTTGCATGTCTGGCATAATTAGGGATAGAACAAACAATATGTCTTCTGATGATGTTGATCATTTCATGTGTTTACCGATGAGTAAAGACAAAGCTAATAGGATGGACTGCATGCTACGCTATGGACAAGCTTTATTCCATAAGGGTTAAACACTGATATAACATTAGTGTTCATGTCTTCCTCAGATGCTCGTTACATTTCCATTACCAAGAATGACCAAGAGTCATTTAGTGGAATCCTGATGTCTATTCACTGCTAGCTATTTCAAAGAGGGTAAAGAATAATTTAACTAAAGGTTCTTGATTAAGCAAATAATTTAATGAAACATTATTTGGCCAAATAATGTTTTATTCACCTCATGGATTTGTATTGTAAAATGGTCTGGAAACATTACAAATGCTCTAATTTAGTGAGAAGCTAATTTGATCATATCCCAAATTCTTCCAGATAAACTTTGGTTTCAAACACAAAATGTTGGGATCTGGAGGTCTGTCCACTTTCTCCACCAGAGGGCGTACTAGATCTCCTGGTGCCCGAGCTGATTGCAACCACCTGTCGCTCATCTGCTCATCAGGAGATCAGTATATAAGGAGGCAGAGGACGTCTCTCCAGTGCCAGAGTGTTTTGCCAGTTATGGTTATCAAGCCTGAGCCAACCTGCCTGTCTGAATCTCTGACTCCCAGAAAACCTGAACCTGATCTGTTTTCTCCTCTCTGCTTCCTAGATTGAACCTGCCTGATACCAGAAACCCAGAAGAGTTTCTCTGTCTGTTCTCTGAAGAACCCTGGAGAATAATCCCTGTCAAAGACCTGCCTGTCCGCTCTCTGAAGAAACTGGAAGGGAAAACTCAAATCAGAACTTGCCAACACTCAAACCAAGCTCTGCCTCCGCCTAGCCCTCTGCCTGCCAACAGCCTCTTGACCCTTCTGGTTCCCCCCTCTGCTCAAACTCCTGAACAGGTACAGACCTGCAAACTTTCATCCTGCAAATTACCTGGACATCCACTAACTCCTCTGTTCCCCTCTGTAGTGAACCCACTAGTGACCAGTCCTGGATCTGATAACCCCTGGATCTGTTTATTGATTGTGCTCTAACTTCAATAAATCTTTGAACTTTTTCCCAGTCTCTGAGTGTTTCCGCATGTGGGTTAGGCAATTGAAGCCCAACATGACACAAAATCCATCTTAATCCATACTTCCCTTCCTCCTTGTACATAGTAGTTTAGAGAGTTTCACTAGTTTAAGTCAGGAGTTTTAAACTGAAATATGTTTGACTTGGAGCTGAATGATTTTTGTTAATAAACTCTTATATTTTGAACAGAAGTTGTGGTGAATTCTTTTTTTTTTTTCGTTTATTTGATAGGGACAAGTATGTTTCATGAATCATGTCACACACTACAACATTTTAGCTAAGACTAATTCTCAATGCCTGTCCCCAGTTAGGCTTTTACACAAAACGCAGTGACTGTACACAAGAACAACAGAACAAATTACACACTAAAACATCACAGAAACAATATCTGGTCAGTTAGATTACTAATGTTCACATGTCTGACCTCTCAATAAAAAGTCTTTTAAGTTTATGTTTAAAAAGGACCCAGTTTGACTCTCCCTTCAGTTCTGCAGGTAATGTATTCCATGTTTTGGTGCCTTGTACAGTGAAAGCTGATTGACCGAAAGAGGTTTTGCATCTGGGTATGTGTATGTATGTGCAGAATTATCTGTTTGACCATGATTAGTGCTCAAATCACTCTTTCATTCATTGTTCTGACACATAGTTAGTAGGGCTGTGTGTCATAAACAATATATAACAGCTGAAATAATATCTGATTAAATAAGATATTTACCACCCCAACGGGGGAGGGCAATAAACATCTGAAAGTATCAGAAATAAATCCGAAATTCCCAGCTGGCAGGGAATTGAATAGAATATAAATCCACAACATTAATGTGGCCTCGAACCTGGATTGGCATTGAACAAAAAATCACAGCATTTAAAATTGTTTAGTTGTTCACACTTAGACCCTCCCCTTAATTGAATAATTCCACCAGCACCCGGTGTGGTGGAATTATTCATTTTTTTGGTAAATGTCTGGTGTGGACGGGAGGTTTTGTAAAATGATTTTTTTAACACTGTCTTAGAGCTTCAGACATTAAATAGTTGCTTTTTGTTTCTGCTAAGTTGCAAGACATTTTTAGTAATTATTTTGTTTTTGCTTTTACAATCAATAAGCCAAGTTTTTTGGAACAAAAGGCGACACTGTGGTTCTGGGGCAGCCACAGCTTGGTGGGTAAAAAATTAGAAGGAGTGCTTAGAGTTCTGGGTATTAATAAGTAAGTATTTGTGCCTGGGAGTGGCTAAATGTACATATGTACTCTGCACATATATGTATATGTTCCATAAGAAACATCGTCTTTTTGGAGCTGGGTTAAATTTTTAATACACTAGTTGGCAATGTTGGTGTTCATTGATTCAGTCTGTAATTCTTTTTAGCAGTCTGATCTATAAACATCAGTCTAAGACAAACTAAAAATGCTTGTCATCATTCCTGTAGAGCGATCAAAAGGACTGAATTCTGAGAATCTGCCCTCATGACCTGCAGTTCCTTAATAAAATCTTTTGGTTAGTTTTTCAACATGAAATCCAAACTGTAAAACAAAGAAAAGCTGAAGCTTTTGGAGCTACTCACCATGGAGGGAGTTGTGTCCCACTGTCAGAGGGATTGGCCGCTCAGGTTGGGGATAAACACGCATCTGTGTGTGTGTGGTGTGTGTGTGGTAGTATTTAGGCTTGATGACGTACTGCTGACTCTGTCCAGGGTGTATTGGCGCAGGATGGATTCTGGAAAAAACAAGTTGAGCACGAATGAATTGAACAGTTCATGTTATTCACCAAACAATATCACGAGTGTTACACGCATATTTTCCACTCAAACACCATCTCAAGAGCTGCCAAATTATTCACGTTTTTTTTTAAACTTGCTTTGTTTCTTTGTCACAGGACAGAATTGTCAGCAAAAAAAGAAAGTGGACCAAAGAACTGAGCCTGTAGATAAACTGAAGGTCAAATAGCAAACCCACGTTAACTCTGCAAGTCTGCTTCTGGTTGTGACAGGCAAGATCAGAAAGGGCCTAAGTTATCAAATATAATAACAATTATAAGTAAAAAAAAAAAATCACTTAAAGGTCACAGCAACAAATCTTTTCAAAAAGATACATCTTTCAATAATACATCCACATAGCAGAAGAACCAATAAGGATTCTGGGAGCTGTAGTCTTACATACATTAATATTGGAAGTACAAGAATTAGGAGATATGTATCATGAGTTGCCCACTGTTTTAGTGAAGGAAAAATGGAGACAAGTTTTTAAAAATAAAATGGTAGAGAAAAAAATGTTGACAAAGGAAACAATCCACTGGACTTTGTTTCCAGGTTTTAAGACGTTTCTCTTCCCATCCAGGAAGCTTTTTCAATCCAAAGTGTCAGAAATAGCATTGAGTTTGAGGCTTTATAGAGTGGACCAACACAAGGCCTTGTTTTGGCTTAGAAAACATGCAAATTGAACCGGACCAACGGGTCCACCCCTTTGGAATGGGGGTCGTTTGAGTTCTTGGTTAGTCTGTAATACCTGATACCTGTCTATGTCCGTTTCTCAATTCACTAGAAGTAAGGACTTGTGTTCTCGCCAAGTATGTTCTTGAGAAGAACACAGGAAAGTGTGGACTCTGGGAGAACAGGAGCATGCAGCATAAATCTGGGTCAACTGGAACAGAAGCGTACTGATGACATCACCACACGCTTGGCTCTTTCTGGAGCTGCATTTCACCTCCTGTTATTAATAGTCTCTTAATAATTAATAAATTACTTTTTTCATTTATTGAATATGAATAATAGTTAACACAGTCAGATAAACATAAAGCAAATGAACATTTTGCCAAATAAGACAAAAAAATCGTCATCATAGCCAGCGGTCCCTCACGTATGGCTATGCTGAGAGAGAGCTGCTACAGACGGGCTAGGATTAGACCACGCTGCCATTACCCTACGAGGTATGCTGGTTGCCGCGGTTCTCTCCACTTCTGTAGTTTTATTTTAAATTACGCATTAGAGGATATAAATGTTCACAAAAAGGGGGTGATTAAAGAAATTTACAGTTTATTACTGGATTTACAATCTCCATCTCTCTCCATTATAAAATCACACTGGGAAAAAGATTTGGCGATGAACATCTCAGCTGATCTTTGGGATTGTATGTTGCAAAGGGTACACTCGTCATCTATCTGTGCCAGGCATGGGCTCCTACAATTCAAGGTTCTTAACGGTCTACATATTTCCACAGGAAAATTAGCTAAGTTTTATCCAAATAGTGATCCAATGTCTAATCGCTGCAAAGCAGAAATTGGCTCACTTATTCATACTTAAGATCTATATCCAGCCATTCAGCAAAGATGCTGCTACATGGGTGCACATCTTATTTTGGCATTTGACCAATTAGCTGGGCCCTTGAATGATATATTAACTACTGTAAATTAAATTGAAAAAAGTTAAAAAGTCAAGAAAAAAAAGGTAAAAAGCTAATTGAAAAGTTTGAAAGTTAATAAGTCTGTGTCATGATGGGTTCACAGAAGGAGACCCAGTTATGCAGAACACCACTGACGGACACAAGGATGAAAAGTTGAACAGTTTATTAAAGCACAAAACACACAGAATGTACTGATTCTGGTTCGGGCCTGGGAACTGGTTCACCGGAGTCTGCGTGAGAGACAGCACAGTTAGTGACTGCTGACAGGGTTTGATTTCCACTGGTTCACTGATTGTACCTTGAAGGTTCTTCAGGTTAAACTTGGGAGAGTCACTGTTGGTTCTGGAGAAGGGGTTTGTCAGCAGAGTCCGTTTGCTGCTTCAGCGTCTCACGTCTTAGCTTGAACAGACCTTGGCTTAGATTTCCCAGCTCTAGTCCTGAGCTGCTTGGGGGTTCTCTGTGAATCTTCAGGGTTTGGCTCAGAGGGTCGGCTCGGCAGGTTAGGTCTTCCAGAGATCTCACAGAGGAGGCACGGGTTTCCTGGAAAACAGAGACAGTAGTTAAAATCCAGACCGGATTCAAAGTCATGGAGATACACTGAGGATCTAGGCTTTAGCGCTGACCAACTGGAACAACACTGCGGCGTTGAGGCAAGGTCTGAAGACAGCTTATATAGTGGATCCTCTGATGATCTTTGACGAGCTGCAGCTGTGCATGAGGCTCCCTCAGAGGATCCACGGCGGACTCTGCTGGAGAAAGATGGGAATTTCTCCAGCTCCCAACAGTCTGGTTAACAATTATATTTAGGTTTATAAACTAAAAAATGTCAGTGCCAGTATCAGCATTAATGCCTCTAAGGTTGTCCCCCCCAAAAAAGTGTTTTATAAATTTCTTTTAGAAGCACTTTTGTTATTTTTCATAATATATTCGGGCAAGTTGGCATTTCTTGTTATTACATTGACATTAATTTTTGCCATCAAAATATCCATATTTTTGGGATGATACAATGGTAATAAGGTCTTGTCCTGGACTCCAATAACACTATTGAATTGAAATTTTCAAAGCTTTTCACCCTATAAAGGGTTAACCCTCTGATGCATGATTATGAATTCCTGAGTCAAGTGTTTTTTTATGTTACTCTTCTTAGGGCATGGAAAAAACAAACATGATTTTTTTTTTTTTTTTTTCAAAAATTACATTTTTTCAGGAAGTTACAGAAATGTCCACCACAGTGGACTACATGCGCTTCAGCTCTCAACATAGCACAGCATAAACTTAACTGAAGAATAATTGAATTTCATTCACTCAAGCATTCTATAGCCCTTCTGGTAATCCAAACTAAGAGAATAATCTTAATCACACAACTCCTCTTCTAACTTCTCTCCTAACGCATTTTCCTAACTCCTAGGCTACATGAAAAATGGCACCCAGGGCACAGTGCTACATGGCTCTGCATGCAGATGTATTTGGTCTTCCTTGTGTATGCAGCATCATGGCATCTGTTTGTATTTTTGACTAGGGTGAGCTTGGGCCAGTGATTTCCTGCGCTCAACCTGACTTTACTGGGTACTTTGGTCAAACATCTGCACTTTGCTGGAGGTGGGGCTCCACTGAAGATGAGGAGTTTCATCTTTTCCAACCCAGACATCAGGTAGAGTCGCCAGGCATTTACAACAATCACATCCAAAAAATGAAAGAACACTCTGATGTACCACCGCTTGTTTCTAGGTCTGTAGGGATACATTGCAACACACTGGTCGACGAGATCAATCCCACACGTGTTGGTTATAAAGGGCCACCCAGAAGGGTCTTTGGACACTGATCTTGGCTTGTTCTTTCTTCATCCATTCAGGGGACTGACCTGCACAGGTCGATGCCATGTGGATGACCAGCTGTCAAGCCAACGTGTGACAGTGATGTTACTGTTTGTGCTGACAACAGAGCAGGCTCCTCTGCCTTCATTTTTCATTTGTTTTTCACTCTTAAGTTTCCGACTTGTTCCTTTCACTCTGTTTGCTCTGCATGTACATGTGCCATAGATGCAACGATCTTTCAAGGCCTCAAGGAGTGGAACGCTGCAGAAGAAGTCTTCAAAAATCATCTTTTGGTTTTATGCTTTATGACATCAAAAAGGTGCATCATTATGTCCCCAGCCATTCCCAAACCACTGCTCTGACCCATAATTGCTGAGACTGGGTATATTTCAAATTTGTACATATAACCTGAGGACCCTTAACCTGACTCCGCCAGATGGATTTGCTCCGCATATCCATCTGGAAACCTTCCGCTGAAGTAATTTTGGGAAGGGGCGAAAAGACTGGTTAGCTGATTGGCCTATGTTGGTGATAGACGGGCCAAATAAACCAATCAGATCAACGAAGCATGACATACTAACAGAGCGACGACGAAAACACAACCACAAGCCAGGTTACTCTTGCCGAAACCAGTCGGGAGAAGAGCAAAAACATCTTTTCCTCTGAGAAAAGCCTCCAGAGCAGTGTTTTGCTCTTCTTTCAGTGAAGAAATACTCTGTAATTCCGCTAAAACTTGCTCGATAGCCACGCTAACGCTAGTTTCATCGGCTGAAGCCGCCATGTTCTTTAGACTGAACTGTCGCGCTTCTCGTTGCGTCACACCTCAACCAGCCTCAAAGCCAACGCTGATTGGACGTTCGTTTGGTGAACGGCTCCAAATTTTCTTTAACGGAGAGTCTCCAGACTGATCTGCGAGTGAAACCTTGAAAGCTCGTGAGATCAGGATGGTCTCACTAGGCTAGAGGACCCTGCCCTGACCCACACTCTCACGCCCCAGGTTTTGGGCTTTTGGGATATGTATTGTTTGATTGACAGTATGCCTTTAAAGGGAATTATTTTTCTCATCAATTGGTATTCTTCAGGGTTTGCTGCCATCAGGAATGTTTCCTGAAGAGTACTTAGCACTGGTGCTATTTTGAAGAGCCTGTCTGTGTTTGCTGGCTGCTGGGTATAGTTATCCACAAAGTGCAGATAACTCAGAATTTGCTCATATCTGTTTACAGATATAGCATCTGCAATTATTCCAAGACGAAGGCCTTCCTCACTGGACCAGTACACCCGTGTCCTAGGATACCAAATGTACCCCTTGACCATGTCAATCCCTAGAAAAAATTAACATTTCTTTGATTGTCACTGCAAGATTTTCTTTCCCTTTCTGTAGCGCTTACATGCTGGTTTTATGCATAATCCCTTCTATGAGATCTAAAGAGAACAAATACCTAAAAAAATCAAATGGTTCTCTTCCATCAAGATCTACTCTCCTTGGCAAGTGGCAAGTCTCCATCAAATTTATTGTCTTGGACTTTCCAGACATATAAGCAAGCACCATGTGGACATTTTTCTCAGCTCCCTCATCGTGTTGACATCCCTCTACATCCTGTTCTTCATCATCCTGGCCCTCATCCTCTTGACTTTCATCATCCTGACTGTCTGCATCTCCTTCATCATCCGTATCTCCAATATTTCTAGTGTTTTCTGGCAGCCGCTCACCAGAGGAGTCAGAGGGGATTTCCTCGACTATTCTTTAGTGTTCCTTATCCTTTGTTGCACTTGTGGTCTAAAAGAATGAGAATAATTCTAATTTTACTGACACAAACTAAAAATGATCTGCATTAAAAAATAAATTTTTAAAAATAACAGTCATACTCAAAATGAATTTAATTGCAAGGAAAAAAATTATAATGAAAGATAAATCAACTACATGACTCATGTTATAAATATAGTCAGCAATTCATAATTTACACTGTGTTGGAAACATGGTTAATCGCATTTTCTTACTTTTGTGAAATAAAATTTTCCAAACTACAGGTGCTGGTCATAAAATTAGAATATCATGAAAAAGTAGATTGATTTCAGTAATTCCATTTAAAAAGTGAAACTTGTATATTATATTCATACATTACATACAAACTCATATATTTCAGATGTTTATTTTGTTTAATTTTGATGATTACAAATGACAACAAATGAAAATCTCAAATTCATCATATCAGAAAATTAGAATATTACTGAAGACCAATAAAAACAAAGGATTTATAGAAATGTTGGCCAACTGAAAAGTATGAACATGAAAAGTATGAGCATGTACAGCACTCAGTATTTAGTTGGGCCTCCTTTGGCCTGTATTACTGCAGCAATGCGGCGTGGCATGGAGTCGATCAGTCTGTGGCACTGCTCAGGTGTTATGATAGCCCAGGTTGCTCTAATAGTGGCTTTTAGCTCTTCTGAATTGTTGGGTCTGGTGTATTGCATCTTCTTCTTCACAATACCCCATAGATTTTCTATGGGGTTAAGGTCAGGAGAGTTTGCTGGCCAATTAAGAACAGGGATACCATGGTCCTTCAACCAGGTACTGGTAGCTTTGGCACTGTGTGCAGGTGCCAAGTCCTGTTGGAAAATGAAATCTGCATCTCCAAAAAGTTGGTCAGCTGCAGGAAGCATGAAGTGCTCTAAAACTTCCTGGTATGTGGCTGCGTTGACCCTGGACCTCAGAAAACACAATGGACCAACACCAGCAGATGACATGGCACCCCAAACCATCACTGACTGTGGAAACTTTACACTGGACTTCAAGCAACGTGGATGAAGTGCCTCTCTTCTTTTCCTCCAGACTCTGGGACCTTGATTTCCAAAGGAAATGCAAAATTTATTTTCATCAGAGAACATGACTTTGGACCACTCACCAGCAGTCCAGTCCTGTTTCTCTTTAGCCCAGGCAAGACGCTTCTGACGCTGTCTGTGGTTCAAGAGTGGCTTGACACAAGGAATGCGACAGCAGAAACCCATGTCTTTCATACGTCTGTGTGTGGTGGTTCTTGAAGCACTCACTCCAGCTGCAGTCCACTCTTTGTGAATCTCCCCCACATTTTTGAATGGGTTTTGTTTCACAATCCTCTCCAGGGTGCGGTTATCTCTCTTGCTTGTACACTTTTTTCGACCACATCTTTTCCTTCCCTTCGCCTCTCTATTAATGTGCTTGGACACTGAGCTCTGTGAACAGCCAGCCTCTTTAGCGATGACCTTTTGTGTCTTGCCCTCCTTGTGCAAGGTGTCGATGGTCGTCTTTTGGACAACTGTCAAGTCAGCAGTCTTCCCCATGATTGTGTAGCCTATAGAACTAGACTGAAAGACCATTTAAAGGCTTTTGCAGGTGGTTTGAGTTAATTAGCTGATTAGAGTGTGGCACCAGGGGCCATCAATTTTGAACCTTTTCACAATATTCTAATTTTCTGATATGATGAATTTGAGATTTTCATTTGTTGTCATTTGTAATCATCAAAATTAAACAAAATAAACATCTGAAATATATGAGTTTGTATGTAATGTATGAATATAATATACAAGTTTCACTTTTTAAATGGAATTACTGAAATCAATCTACTTTTTCATGATATTCTAATTTTATGACCAGCACCTGTAAGTTAATAATATTGTTACCTAGATACTCCTGCATATCAGCATATTTTTTTTAGCTCTATGATTCTCCTCGTTTAGAAGGATTGAGAGGATATTCCAGGAGTGGTCATTGAGGGTGTCTGTCTGCTGGCCATCTTGGACTCCGATTACAATAACTTGTAGTTACAACAACTTGCCACTAAATTAACCTCAGTGGAGGGGAGCAGTAGAGAGCATTCTAAGGACATTTAGGAAACAATTACTTCTAAACAGCTGTCCCCTGTAGCGGCCGCTATGCACCAGATGTGCTCTCTTCATTCTCTGACATTGGAGCTGGCTCGGAGCTCGTCTGCCTGGCTGTGTGTTTCCTGGACGGGGGCGCCTGTGGAGCTGGTTAATAGTTGCCTTTTGTATCACTGCTTCTGTCTCCTTGAACCCCAGTCGGCCTCAGCAGATGGCCGCTCACACTGAGCCTGGTTCTGCTGGAGGTTTCTTCCTGTTAAAAGGGAGTTTTTTTCTCTCCACTGTCACTACAAGCATGCTTAGTGTGAGAGAGTGCATTCGAGTCAATGATTCGATGCAATCAACTGGTTTTCCTTAGATAGAAAACTTTGAATCAATTTGACTGGGTGATCTGGTAAACTTTAAAGTGACTTGAGATGACGTGTTGTGAATTGGCGCTATATAAATAAACTGAATTGAATTGAACCATCAATCTATCCCACTATTCGTTAGGAAATAAAGCACTGAGGTAAGAATTTAAGTGAATTAATGTTGCAATGGACTGAGGACCTGCAACAAGGAGTTTAGGATGGATGGCAACAGAGGGCCAGAGTGGCATTAGATCCCACAAACTCCCAGGTCAAAGTATTGCCCAGTGGAGAATCAGCCCAAAGGATGTCCCTGTGGCCAAGTAGCCAGGAGGCAGCATCAGTCATAAGCATGGTGACAGGACCAGCATATTGTCAGTTTTATTTTATTTTAACTATTTTTACAAAAATAACGTTTCTGCCTTTCCTCTAGGAAAACAAATGTTGGTTTGATTAAAACATCGTCCAAATGTTTTCTGCAGAACATCTGTAGCCAAACAAAAATTTTCTTTGTTTATTTTTTGTAATAAGAACTATAATATCCTTATTGAAACTGAAGGAAAAAATGTAAAATTCATAATTCAGTAAAACATACTTTGTTTCTCCTGGGTGTCTGGAAAGAAGATGATGAAAAACTGTAACTAGCTTTGGAACAGGATAAAGAACCGGAGACAAATGAGCCAAAAGATCGGAATTTTTTACTGAATCAAATTAAACGTGTTGAATAAAAATTAAATCCACTTCTCCAATCTGAAAACAAACAGAACTCCTTATTTCAATAATGCAAAACTATTAACTGAACAGCAGCTGTTATCTTTCACTTCTGGCCTAATGGTGCACATTAACATACTGCTCAGAGTGGAGTCAGGTTTCAGGGACACAGACAAGCCTTTTATAAATTGAGCCCAGAAAGAGACGTCAGCTGCAGCCTGTTGACATGCATCCTGCATTCTCTGAGAAAGGGCTCTTCATGAGTGTCTTGCTGGACCGGATGTGAGACTGCCTTGCTATCTGTAGTATTTACAATCCTTCTGGAGACATCATGCTGGAATCTAAGGTTTATGCTCAATGAAAGCAAGAGGTAACGTATTTAAAGGAAAGGTCCGGTAAGCAAGGAATAATCAGTGGATCATTATTTCTACTTAAAACTAATACGTTCGCAATAATTTCATGAATTTAGCGTTAATCAGTAATAAAATAAAAGTAATCATTTTTGATTTTCGTCACATTTACTTAGTCCAGGAGCGGCCATTTTTGCCCAAATATAGTAACCCCTCCCTCCTGCCATCTTCCGGCAGTGACGTCACGGTGCGGTAAGCCTAGCGCCATTCTCACCGCTTTACAAGCAAAATCAATGGGAACTACTAGACACATCTGCAATCAACAACAATTATTGAAGATTTCCAGAGGACTTCACCATTGAAATTCACCAGAGCTATAGTGAAACCGACAATGCCCACGTGCATGGCAGCTGGATGTTGGAATACATCGGGTAAAAGTGAAAAAAAATTTTCATGATCCTCCACGGACAGGTTCATCGTTGGATTTCCAACTTGAAGAGGGAGGATTTGCCATCGAACTTCTGGCCAGAGAAAAAACACGTAATATGTAGCCAACATTTGGAAGAAGAATGTTTTCAAGATGACTTGGATAATAGCGCGTTGTGACAAACACCAGATACAGCACTGGGACTTGATCAACAGCCGATACTGCACCGTGACGTCACAAACCAGTAGGTGGCAGTAGTGTTCTTTGACAAACATGGATGCCTCCAGTAAAGCACATTCAAATGAAGATACTCTCAATTAAAAAAAAAACGTATCATTTATTGAACAGGATGTAATAATTTCATATTTAAAGTACTTTCAGAAGTTTGAGTTCTGCATATGACCAGACTTTTCCTTTAAAAAATTCCCAAATCCAATTGTGATCTGGCTCGCCACCCAATGTTCTACGTTATTCATCAAATAAGAGGAGCTTCCATCGGCTTGCCAATGCTTTTTGTCCAGGAAAACTATATTGAACCTGGATTTTACCAAGGACGATGATTTGCTGTTCGTTATATAGAGGGTCGGACCCTTGTCCTTTTCACCCAGATCTGCTGTCAGATTTACCAAAGCTTCGTCTCCGCTGCTCTTCCTTGAGCCAGAGAAATCTCATTTGGTCCATAGTTTAAATAAAAAATATATTGACTTTAGAGACAAAGCAGCTTTCAAAGTAACTTTTAGAGCTTGATTCAAAAGTTTAATTGCAAACATGACAGAGTAAAGCGTAAACCAAAGGCCAGTACTTACTGCTGCTGGATATGTTGCTGGATATAATGGGGTCTCACAAACTGGGGGGCCGCCTTGACCGTTAGCTTCATGTGGGCCAAGTTATTGGAAGAGGTGTAACCATTAGGGGGCGCCTGCTGAGGTATGGGCACCTGCTGAGGTATGGGCCTCTGCGGTACCACGTTGTTTCCATTAGTGTGGCCGCCGTTGGTTTCTCTCCCAGGAATCACCGGATTGGAGGGCACCGCCACCGTGGTCTGTTCACATGCCTTCCCCTTTGAGCCTGGTTTGCAGACGCAGAGCTGCGGCCTCAGGCACATTCCCCCATTCTGGCAGGAAGGGAAGCAGTTTGCTACAGAGAGAGAGAAAAATACGATTAGACCAGTATCAGAATTATTTGATGCATCCTTTACAATCTGTGACTCTTAATTTCTACTTAAAGTATCCTTTTTACTGAAAACCACAACACATTGTGACGAATGGATGTTCTGTATTTACAAACTAATTGATCTTAATACCAGCAGAATTCTTGACGTATTAGTTGCACCTTATGCTACGTTCAGACTGCAAGCAGCAGACGCAGCAGAAGCAGCTAGTTTACATGCCAGGTCAATGGTTGATACGCATCAAGGTGCAGCAGAAGGTCCCGCAGCGCGTTTTGATCGGCCCTTCATGAGCTTCTGAGCGTCTGACACGTGAAACACATGCTTCAGAAGTGGCAGCTGCAAGAGTTGGAAAAATTTAACTTTTGCTGCTGGAGGTGCCACATGAACCAATGAGAGAAGCTGGCAGGGAGACAGACACAGCAGCGCTGATGCGGAGCGCTATGATCACCCCTCTGAAAAAGTTTATTAACACCTAAATTAACTTAAAATGTCAAAACCTGCCAGCAAAACATTCATTCTATTACCCTGGTGTCTGCAGTTTGGATTATGTGGGTGAAAAACGCCTTCCAGCTGCAACAAACATCAGCGGAAACCCCCAAAGAGGCGACTGGGCCAGAGGCGGCCGTTGAACGGGATTCCCAGCAGTGTTGTTTTCTTCAACGATGAGGATGATTAAATCATTTCCTTTTTTTTATGACGATAACGAACACTGACGAGCTAAACTTGGATCTTTGATGATGAAAACATGACTAATCATAGGTTTGAGTTTTAGTCAATGAGACAAGACAAGAATTTGCGGGTCGTTGGTCAGACGTTTTAAATGCATCATTGTGCTGTAATCTGCTAAACAGTATCAGCCGCGCAGCTGCGTCCTGTTTGATCCTGCCGCCCACCTGCTACCCAGCGGTGCCAATCCTGCGGCGGCACAGTTTGATCATGGAAGCAGCAGTGGCGGCAGAGTCCGAGAAAATTATCCGGGAACTCGCTGAACTCTGACAAACTGCTCTGATCTTCCATATGTGCGTGTGCAGAAATGCGTCTTTGCACGTGCGCTGATGGTTCGCTCTCAGCAGTATGGCTCTTCCTGCTCTCACTACTTAATAAACTATATGTGGCTGATCATCCTCTGGTAAAAATCCTTCTTCTGTCTAACAATCAAGATTCTATTTCTTCCAGCTTACAATCGGTGAAACTAAACATTCTTTAATTTCTACCAAAAGGAATCCCTAACTTATACACAAAAAAATAGTTCATTAAATTCTGTTTATTTTTTGATACAGAGTTAGCTTGTCTGTCTGCTATATTAACCAATATGATGTGTTGAAATAGATCTGCATTTGCAAAGGTTAACTTTTTTTCGCAACATAAAACTGACATAAAACTGCCCTATAGAGGGTTAAATTATTTTTTATTTGGTTAAAGATGGAAAATCAAAGTTTGAAAACAGCAATTTATCTACATGCAATTCACTAACTGAATTAGACTGCTAAATAAAATAATCTTTCCTTGAATATTTGTATAAGAGTTCCTACTGTATGTCATCTATTGGGGTTATAAGTGAACAACAGAGGAGAATAAAACATTTAAGTTGTATCAGTGTAGTTTAAACCTCTTTTTGCAAACATCTCCTAAAGACTCCAGATCAGCCAATCAATGAAACGCACGGATCTCACAGCTTCAAAGCCGCATTTAAACCCGCCCTTACAGGAGATCATAACAACTGCAATTAACTGATTGTAGCTATGAAGTGCCTGTTATGAAATCTTGGGCTTATGTGTGCATCTTTGTGTCATGGCAGACTAGCAAAGGAGCCTGTAATTACTAACAGCACTACTCTCCCCAGGCAGATTACAGGGGCATCCATTTTCAACTACAAAGCCGATTCCAGAGACGGCAGGGCAGACGTTTGCACGCTGCACTCAAACATATACGAGTATATGCAGGCAGTGTTTGGGTGATATACTGGAATAAAGCAATAAAACAGGCATATAGCTACAGTCTGTGCAAATTTGTAAAGTTGTGCTATCCTTTATCAGCCAGGGATCATGCTCTCCACCCAGAGCCTAACTCTTCTAATGAAGACTGAACACACTTCCTATCAGCAACTATAAAAAGGGGTATTCCTACATGTTTGAGAAATGACTTAAAGAGATTGGCCCTTTCTCTTTCCACAAGGCCCCTGAGGAACCCCCCCCCCCCCACACACACACACACTGTGCTTGTTAATCTAATTGGTGGAATTGAGATTGGTGAAAATGATTGATGAAGGGAAATATAACTAGCAGCTGAGAGCCATCTGGCATAGGAGCAAACTTCCTCCCACAGCTCCTCCTTTTCAGAGACGTGACCCTGATCAGAGCCAAAAACGTAGAAATCTCCTCCAGTCTTTCCACACTATGGAGACTGGTTGATTTGCATGGGTGCAGGTCATCTGGCTACAGGCATTCAGGCTGTGTTCACTCATGGCACATCAGCTGAAGATCATGTTGAGACCCAGAACAACCGTTTTGTTCCCCCCTGGCTGGCTGCCCACAACAGAACCATAGCCTCACAACTCAAAGTGTAAAACAAATACTTGAGCGTTCCTTCGTTAAACAGCAGAAACCTCCACAAGCTGGTTGGAAGTTCCACTACAATTTAGAAATGAAACCCCACCCTGGGTTTGCAGGCAGAATTAGTTTCACGCAGAGGAGCCACAGAATGCAGCCATGACACATCAGAGCTCTCTGAGGAGGTCCACAGCCGCAACACCTCCTGGAAGTCTGCCTTTCCTCTAGGAAAACTGCTTGGCTTAGAGGATGCTAATGTTTTACTGGAGAGTCTGGACCAGTTCCCACTTTTCTGTCTGATTTCTTACCTTGTGGTTCTATTTTTTCCAACTGAACTTAAATACATGCAAACTGATTTTTGTAACACATTAATTAAGCAAAATAACCGTCAACCCTGAAGGAGATAATGCTATTTATGCTTTCTAGATTTCTACAAAGAGTGAACAGATCAGCTGGCTGGTGTCCTCACAGACATTTTTAACACCTCACTGGACCAATCCATAGTGCCAGCATGCTTTAAGTCTGCCACCATCATTCTGGTTCCAAAGAAGACTCAGGTCACCTCACTCAATGATTACCAACCTATCGCACTGACTCCAATCATGATGAAGTGCTTTGAAAGGCTGGTCAAAGAACATTTGACCCGTTCCAGCTCACCTACTGACGGAACCGCTCCACTGAGGACGCCATCTCCTCCGCTCTTCACCTGAGCCTAGTACACCCGGAGGAGAAGAACACCCACGTGCGGATGCTGTTCCTGGACTTCAGTTCAGCTTTCAACACCATCATCCCACAGCATCTGATGGGCAAACTGGAACAGCTGGGCTTCAATACACCCCTCTGCTATTGGCTGCTAGGCTTCCTCACCAACAGAAATCAGTCAGTCCGGGTCGGACAGAACACCTCTGATGTCATCAGTCTAAGCACAGGCTCCCCTCAGGGCTGCGTCCTGAGCCCCCTGCTGCTCACCCTGATGACACATGACTGCGTCCCCAGGTTCACCACCAATCACATGGTGAAGTTTGCAGACGACACCACAGTGGTGGGCCTCATCAGAGACGACAACGACCAGGACTACAGAGAGGAGGTGGAGCAGCTGGTGGACTGGTGCAAAGATAACAGCTATATCACCGCTGCACTTTAAGGAATGGAAATGTCATGAGATCTGTACAAAATGAAAATAAATGTTTTCTAAGTCTTGTTAGATGCTGTTTCATTGGTGACATTACACTTTTACAGATTATGCCTGGCTACAGAAATTTAATTAAAAAAATATACAACTTAGAAGTATAAAGGTAAGAAACAGTTTTACGAGTATACAGTTAGGAGAAAGGGTCACAACTGTACAAGTTTGCTAAAAAAAAAACGCACAAGTTTGAATCACAAATGAACGAGCACTAATCAAAATTTTATGAGAAGATTTATGATTTAAAAAAAAACAAGTTTGAGAGTATAAATGTTAAATGATACAAATCACTAAATCACAAGGTCGAATAACAGATTCACCAGTTTGAAATTCAAATTAGATAATACCAACAGTTGGATCGCTCCACAAACAAGTCAATGTAAATAGAAGCTTAGAAAAATGCAAAAAGGTTTTACTGGCAAAGTAGTAAAACACATTACCTAAGGCATGTAAAGGCGTCATCACCCAGACATCTGACTTTTCTTATGGTTTAACCTGTTTGTTTTGGGCTTCAGTTTTTCTCGTCTCTCTGACTGAGTGCAGCCTCTGCTTGGTGACGGGGGTTAAAGTAATTTCCTTGTGTGCTTAGGACAGAAAATACATCAAACCATCCGAGCCTTGTGATGCCATTGCCTTGGTAGAAGAGCTTGTTAAAAAGCCTGTTAGAAAAACGAAGATGCTCAGACTTTGAAAGCCTGTTTCACCTTCCATGCAGTGAGGACAGATGTTTGCTGAATTCAAAGTAGGTAGAAGGGGAAAAATATGACATCAGTATATGAGGTATCGAATTCCTTATTATCTGAGTCACTGTCGGCCCCCAAGAGCTCAGATAAATCCCCCAAAAAGGGAGCCTGTAGAGAATTTCTGTCTCATCACAGTCCTGGTTGTAGGAAAAGCTTATTTCACATCAGCTAACAGTTGCATTACAAATATATGCATAAAGCTCTTCTTTACTCTAACGAGGCCACAAAATTAGGTGATTTTTAAGATATGACAAAAAATCACAATAAATTATGAAAAACAAGGTGGAGTTAAAACAGAGTTTATACAGGGATGAGTAACTCTAATTTAATGCTTTTTATTGATAGTGATTCACCTACATGTTATGAATGCTGGCGTACCATAAATGATAAATTATGAACAGTTTAGTTTGTGCCTTCAAGTCGATCGCCCGTAGGAAGATAATAACCTGAACCTCTCCATTTATCCAGGGTGGTTGGTTGGTCCGGGTGGTGATGTTCTTTTTGATGCTGACGTCCTCAATGCATTTGTTGATGTAGGCTGACACAATCATAACATACTTATCAATATTCAATAAGTTGTCATATGTTTCTGCAGCCTTGAAGATGTTCCAGTCAGAGCATTCAAAACAGTCTTGGAGTTTCTCCATGGCCTCCTCACACCACACTCTGACCTCTTTAACTGTCGGTTTAGCCCTGATCAGCTGGGGCTTATATGCAGGAATAAACATGACAGAGAGATGATCTGATGACCAGAGGTGGGGGCAGGGGGCTGCTCTGAAGGCATCTTTGATATTAGAGTAAACCAGGTCTAAAATGTTTTAACTCCGAGTTGCAAAGTCCACATGTTGGTAAAAATGAGGGAGAGAAAACGGCCACAATCAAAAAGCTTGAGAACCTTCCGCCACAACATTCCCACCCCGTTAATAAATGACAAGTATTCACTTTATTTACTCGTGTAAAGACGGGCACCACCATTAAAATTAAAATCTTTGCCTAGTCCTTTTTGCAAAGCAGATGAGGCGTAGACAGACTGTTGGGATTCCTGTCAGTGTGGTTTGTGTTTTTGTGTTTGTCTTCCTTCCTCCACCAGGAGGCGCCTGGTCCTGGTTCGCCTCCTCACACACCTGCGGAGGGTTACCTCATTAACGAAGTGTTCTTAAGCTGCTGACTGCCACTACCTCGACGCCAGAGTGTTTGCCAGTTTTGGGTACTCTAGCCAAGCTGAGTTTTGCTGAGTCAAACTGAGTTTTTGTCAACCTTATTCTTAACCTTGTTGTTTTTGTCTTTGCCTCTCGACAGGAAGTCATCCTGCAAACTGGATGTTTCGGACCTTCTCTCCCTGGAAGGATCAACTGAGCTTCAAACTGAGCTGAGGATTCAAACTGGTGGTTTGGATCTACTTTCCTCCAAGAGATCGTTTGAGCTTCGCACTGAGCAAGGGATTAATCTGCACCACAATCTGTTCAAGTACCGCAGGAAATCTAAGTGGCAGTCAGTTTCTCTGTTCACCTACAAACATATTCTGGGTAAACCCTGTCTGCCCTCCACCGAATGAGACAAACACTGGAACACCCCACACCGACTGGAGTTAAGAGTCAACCACTTATCTGGAAACATGAGTCAACAATCTATTTCTCCTCTTCAAGTTCGAGAATCAAGATTCCCACTGAGCCTGAACTAACCACAGTGTCTTCCCCTCACTTTCCAGTTCCGGTTGAGCAGTGTTCAGAGCTACACTGGATTCTCCACAATCCCCTCAATAAACCTGTTAAAATTTTCCCCTGGTTTCTCTCTGTAATTGTTTTTCTGCTTTTTGGGTCAGACCTTAGTTAAATCATAACACAGACTAGGTGGACTTAATGTTGGGTTCAGGTCTGTGCTTTGATTAGGCCATAATTAATGCATTACTGTTGTTAAAGGTATTGATCCTGCTCTAAAGGGCTGGTTATACTCCTGCAGCAGTGTGTCACAGTGAGCTTGACACAGACATTTTTGATTTATGCCCACAGCTAGCACATGGTCTGCGCTATACGCTGTGGGTCTAGATACGGACGAGGATGCGAGGAAGTGGGGATGAGTTTGTGCAACAACGGAGGGATCTGAAGGCGAAAATGAGCGGAGATCCAGGTGGAAAACGGTTCCCAGCGTTCTTGTGCACCTCGATCTTCTAGCTGGTCCATCTTCATGAGTTGTTTTCTGCTATTTAGGTCATAAAAACAAAACAAGACGGCCTCCTGTCTGTCACTATCTGCGGTCTACAATTTGGGAAAGGTGCAGCAGAGTGTTTGCGGAGGGGGCGGGGACGGCTTTTTGTTCACTGCGACACCTAAACAGGGGACCTAGTTTCGAAGTATAAATCAGCCTTAAGCCTGCTTGGAAAAGCAGCTGTAGGATGATACAATGGGAATAGGTGAAACAAGTCATACAGGGTAGGACTAGACAATATGGCCAAAACTTATTTCCTGATACATTCCTCAATTTAAGTTAATATTATGTCATTTAGTCTTTGATATAAAAAACATCAAAGCCCCAGAAAACCAGCCAAGAACAGCTGCCTGTAAAAACTTTTGAAAATTACTTTGCCACATTTATAAAACTTCCCTAACATAAGATTTAGGAAATTTTGGCTTTAAACAACAAAAGCAAATAAAACCTTGAACCCAAATCAGTGAAAAAAGCTGTAATCATAGACTGGAATATGTAGATATTGATTTAAACATATGTACATACGTATTGCAAATGTGTTTAAAAGTCACATCATCAATATTAAATGAAAGGACATTGATATATTGTCCTGCCTTAATGCAGAGATTATTACCTTATTATTAAGGCAATTCTTTAGGAAACATAAACAACTCCAAATAAATTCTCGTAGGAAATAATCAGTAAAGTGAGTCCTAAGTCCAAAATATTTATTTGGTCTGCTTTTTCCTTTTCTGCAACTTCTATAAAATTCATGGCAACTAATAGGTTTAATAGCTAGACAATTTCATGTTACATGTAATGTTTTGTAAAAAAAAAAATTAAGAACAAGTACACAAATTCTGTTCTACAATTTTGCAAATCAAAAACCTCTTACATTCTCAGTTTTGCTTTAAATGGTCCAGAACTATTGTTGCAAAACTATTTGTGCATTGTAACTTCGGTGTTTTGTAATTGTAGATTGTAATTTTTTTATCTGTCCCACTTACAAAAAAAAGTTACACCTCTTCAAATTCTTGAGTACAATACACAAATTGTGTTCTGTGAGTTGCACATCAAAAATGTCTTCCACATCAAAAACGTTTTGCTTTGGTTGATCTAAAACAAATGGTGCAAAACAAATGAAGAAGGATCTGATGAAACTTACGCTTGGTGCATCTCTGCGATCCCTGAGTCTTACTCCATCCATGGCAGCACTGTCCTCCACAGACATTCACACTGCAAAGACAAGCAGAGGAAGTTGGATCGATGCAAACAGGAAACTCAGTGGCAGCTCAGTGGAACATGCAGGTATGCAGTTTTCATTCTCTACCTTCTCTACCACAGTTGGAGCTTTGGAAAGAAATCAGATTTAAGGTCACCTGCTCTTCAATAATTCCTAACCCTACCTAAACATGACCAGGAGGACTCTATAGAGTACGTTTCTACACACACCTACTATTTGGCAAAGTCAGTCTCGCCTGATGATCTCTAGAAATGAAAACTGCCTGCATTGTGTCTAAAGATTCAGGACTCTATTTTAGTCGGACTACGCAGCAATTCAGCAGCAACTTCATGGGTCTGACAGGAAGAAACACACGATTACAAAGAAAAACACATTGACTTTTGGGGAAAATACTAAATAAAATCTGTTAATCTCACGGGGAAACAGTCAGTTTGGAGTCAAGCATCGTGTTTATAGTAAGCAGGACCTATTAGTGCAAAAACAACCAATGAAACATTAAAATAGAAAAGTTTCCCCATGATAGGAGTTCAGGAGGACAGAAAACGGATAAAGTAGTGATCCTCTTTGAGCCTCACAGAAACCATAATAACGAGGATCAGACAGAGCAGGTAAATGCAGCGTATCTCTCTCATCTCTTTATGAAAAAAGAGAAAGAAAAACTTTGATAAACTTCCCAGTTCTCTCTCTGAGAATCACCTCTCTGCCTCAGTCAGCATAGAAACCATCCCACAGCGTTTATTGCTGTGTTTTTCTTTTCTTCAGACGTAGATGTCATGTTGTTTTTTAATTTATGAACATTCTCTGGCTTGGGTTTAGATGCTGAAAAGACTCATTAAGTAGAGCTTTGATTTATAGAATGCACCAGTGTTTTTTATTTATTCATTTTTAATTACTTTTCATAATCTGTCCAAGTCAAATGTGGGAAATTGTTTCAATGTGTGTGGAACACAGAGATGGAAGTAAAAACAATCTGCTCAGATCTGCTCACCCTGCCTAGTCAAGCTTCTCTATACGCAGTCAGGGTGACACGGAAAAAAATTGGATCAGAGATTAAAAAGTTTTACGCAGCCATTATGTTCAGGGCTTTGGAGAAGAATAATTCAGAAGAAGAGAGAGTAATGAGGAAAAAAATCGTAAAGGAAGAAGAAATGGTGTCAAAAATGGTATCAAAACTGAGAAATGATGGTGAAAAGCAGAGCATGAGCTTTACCACATTAACAAAAATAATTGAAAAGGTGATGCTGAGATGACAAAGGTACTGCGATGTGAAAGTTTGATGGTGAAACAGAAGAATAACAAGAAAACATTTGTGTTTTTAACATTTGTTTTTAATTGAGAGCAATTTTCCTTTGAATGTGTTTTACTTGAGGCATCCATGTTTGTCAAAGAACACTACTGCCACCTACTGGTTTGTGACGTCACGGTGCGGTATCGGCTGTTGATCAAGTCCCAGTGCTGTATCTGGTGTTTGTCACAACGCGCTATTATCCAAGTCATCTTGAAAACATTCTTCTTCCAAATGTTGGCTACATATTACGTGTTTTTGCTCTGGCCAGAGGTTCGATGGCAAATCCTCCCTCTTCAAGTTGGCAATCCAACGACAAACCCGTCCGTGGAGGATCAGGAATCATTTCCATACAGAAAGCCCATATTTACATCTTCAGCTTCCACAGTATTTTTGTCATATTAAATAATACTACTCCTTGATACTTCAGCAATAGTATCAAGGTTTTACTTTATTGTATCTCTTATACTATATCCGTTGGTTTTGCTGTTCTTGTGCTGTGCTTCTCCACTTGTGAAAGTAAAATCTTTTGGGCCCTTACATGTATTTTTGTTGCCACATTGCCAGACAGGAAAGCTGAAATAACAATGTTTTTTCTCTTTTACCTGATGTATTCCAACATCCAGCTGCCATGCACGTGGGCATTGTCAGTTTCACTATAGCTCTGGTGAATTTAAAAGGTGAAGTCCTCTGGAAATCTTCAATAATTGTTGTTAATTGCAGATGTGTCTAGTAGTTCCCATTGATTCTGCTTGTAAAGCGGGGAGAATGGCGCTAGGCTTACCGCACCGTGACGTCACTGCTGGAAGATGGCAGGAGGGAGGTGTCACTATATTTGGACAAAAATGGCCGCTCCCAGACTCAGTGATCAGACTCCTCCTTCAAAGTGAAGCATTTTATCAGGGCTATTACACTGAGCAGTTGCTGTATAAACACAGGATGCAGCAGAGATTTTCTAGCACATTGAATGACCATTTTATTGGACTGTGGCTGGATGCTCCGATAGAGGAGACGGAGTCGATTCTATGGAGCTGTGAACTGCTGAGCTTTGTGAACAGAGAACCCAGCTGGGGTACAGTCCTCTAATATGAAGGCTACAGTAACCCCGGTAAAGACATTGTGGTGGTGACAATCTGGGCCCAAACCTCCCATGATTCAAAGCTGCTGTGGTAGCAGAGGAATCAATGGAAACCTTGCATGATTAACTCAGCCTAACAGGGACGTTAAACTGTTTTGGCGTGCTGGAGAGGATCAAACCTTCTTTCCCAGGAACAGAGCAGATTCCCACACATAGATCCGCTCACACAGATCTATGTAAAACAGGCTACTAAGGCTGTTGAGGGGAGAATCAGCACCAAGCTGTTAATCACTTTTTATCTGTATTAAAAGTAATGATGTTGAGTTTATAGAATAATGAGCACGAACCTGCATAGGATGTGCATGATGATTATATTCTGTTACAGAGAACTTTCACCTGCCAGGCAGTGAAAGGTAAGACATGTTTGATGTCTACTCATTAAAACAAGAAACATTCTGCCGACCACACATTCAAACGTCAGATAAAGGTTTTTAGGTCTTACAGTAAATTATGAATTAGTCACTAAAGGCAGTGCAGATCTCGATAAGAACAGTAATCAGACTCTCTTGTGTGTCGGAGGATCCTGCAGGAACGGATTGTTGGACTGTGATGAGAACACACACTGAGGACCACCCTGTAAAACCAACAACTACACACCATCAGACAACATGGAGACCCGGGTGGCTGTGGAGACTCTGATCATTTAGAGACGCTGGGAGAGTTTAAATCAGCTTTTATGCTCAGTTATCTTCATCATTTGTTTTCAAGTCTGACGAGGTTTATGCTTGACTTTTTACTGATTAGGATTTTATTCTTGTTTCATTTTAATTTTGACCAACAAAAATGGAAACATTTTACTCCAGAATCACAAGATCAGGTTTTATGCAACATTTGCTTCTATTGAAAGACTTAGACCCCGATTGGCTTCAAAGCTCCTTAAACTAGCAGGTAATGATAATTATCAGATAATTATCAGAGTCTAAACGGTATCTTCTTGCTCTGATTGGCTGAGAGCGGGATTTCCCAGCGGTCACGCCGGTTTTTACAACCTTTTAGAGGAGAAAGGGTTTTCTGATGCAGAACGGCCCCCTGTCCTGTGAATTCCCTTACTGTGACTGAACGATTGGTAACTTTGGACAGATAGATCATCAGTGAAGAGCGGTCACAGTTAAGGCTGATTTATACTCAAAAACCAGTGTAGCGCTGAATGCAAATGTGTCCCCCCCAATGCACCTCTCCAAAATTGTAGGTGACCGCAGACAGTGCCGCAGACAGGAGGCCTCTGATTGGTCAAATCTACATCCTCTCTACACTATGCATATTTCCTGTTTGGTACCTTACCGACTTGTTTTGTTGGTATGACCGCCATTGTGGAAAACGACTCGTGAAAATGGACCAGCTAGTAGAGTGAGGAGTGTAGGAACGCTGGGACACTTCAATATTGGACATAGATCAAAAATATCTGGGACAAGCTTACTGTGACACACAGGATCAAGAATCAAAAAGGTGAAATTACTCTTTTTTTCACTTTTACCCGATGCATTCCAGCATCCAGCTGCCATGCACGTGGGCATTGTCAGTTTCACTATAGCTCTGGTGAATTTCAATGGTGAAGTCCTCTGGAAATCTTCAATAATTGTTGTTGATTGCAGATGTGTCTAGTAGTTCCCATTGATTTTGCTTGTAAAGCGGGGAGAATGGCGCTAGGCTTACCTCACCGTGACGTCACTGCTGGAAGATGGCAGGAGGGAGGGGTTACTATATTTGGGCAAAAAATGGCCGCTTCCAGACTCAATGATCGCGACGAAAATTAGTAGATTAGTTTGACCTTATTATAATTACAGACTTAGATTACCTAACCTAAGTTAACATAATACGCACATGGGATTTTAAAACTACCTTACCTAATGAGCTTAAATCCAAAATGTAGATAAATGCGGAAACCAGGCCCAGAGTGGCTGGTCGGGAGGATCTGGACAATTTCTGGTGGGCCGGTCTCATTTTGTGGCCACAGAGGCCGTTGATTATTTATTTTATTTATTCTTTTATTTCATGGTTAAGCCTCTGGGCTGCCTCCACCTAAACTGGCAGCTTTTTTTTTTTCCTCTGTGCTTCCTGACTTAACTTTCCAGTGCACTCGGCTGGGTCAATGGTGTGAAAGATGGAGAATAAAGGAGCAGAGGAGGCACGAAGAACAGCAGAATTAAGAAGAGGAAAGCTCTTGGCAGGTTTTTTAGTAACACGCAGTTTAAAACTTGAAATGCAGTTTGATGTTGGACTTTCCACTGAACACGTTAATTACACAGTAATTGTATTTTGTGACGATTTGGTGCAAAATTTAATGTTATATAGTTTAAATCAGTGATTCTCAAATGGGGGTACGCGTACCCCTGGGGGTACGTGGAGATACTGCAGGGGGTACGTGAAGCTTTTCAAAATATATTTAAAAAATCAGTAGGCTCCTCATAATAAGTCTTGGGAGAAATTATTCTGTAAAAAGTTCGATAGAATATAAATGTGTGTTCATGCACTGCATTTTATATTCAGTATTTAGTTTCAATATCCTTTAAAATAAAACGGACCCCCCACCAAGTTAGTTTGACCCACGGACCCAGCGCACTTGTCAACGA